CTCTCGTAAAATTCAATATTATGAACTCAATTTTTTACTGAAGACTATCCAAAGTCAGATACATATTCAGTAAAAATTTTACTAAGATTGAGTGCTCTGGAAAAAAAATAGATTTTTGACCCGGGGGGGGCCCTTAAACAACACGAGAATATAATTCCTTACTATGATATAAAATAACACATCAACATATGTTATGTTTTAATTTTTTCTCTTGTATCATACACGTTTATTTTTATTGTTCGTATTTTATTCATATTTTATTCATCTTGTTAGACAACTGCCCTCGCATTATCGTCATTCAGCAATAATATGACTCAATATTTTCTGATTAATGGCATGACCACTTCAACATCATCAAAAATCAAATATGCTCAATCAAACAAACCTTATTTTGTTGAACATGAGCGTATAAATCGTTTACTTCCTCAATTACAATCAACAATGAAACATAAACAACAACAGGAAGAACTATCAACATTACTCTACAATAAATTATTTCAGCCGTTTTTGAATGGAGATACGAACTATAATTCTGATCTTCATGGCAATCTTGATCTTATTGTATCGTTTGGTAATTTTTATTTCCTACACTATCGACAAGAAAATCGTCCGCAGCAATTAGAAACAAATCTTGAACGATTAACAAATGAACTTTTTATACCTTATTTAACTGATACATATCTACCATCAACTATTGCTCAACCGCTTAATTTCAACATCGGACTACAACAAATATTTTATCAACCAAGTCAAAAAATTGAACGTGAAGTAAGTTGGATCAGGTTATTTGTATCCGAATCATCGTTCGTTTCAGGATCTCCGCTGTTTTTTCATTGAAAAGACCGGAAAACAAACAACTCGTCTGGCAAATACGCTTAATACAGTGGGAGCGGTAGGATAAATGATAAAATCTCAGTATTTTTCAAATGAGTCTTTTATTTCTGACCGTGTAGGCTTGAAGGTTTTTCGAAAAACATTGCCAGTTTCATTTTCTACAAGATTCATATTGAACATCTTTTATATATCTTAAAAATAAAAGAATAGAGACGAAATATTGCGCAGCTTCAACCTCCATTGAATCTAAACACACAACAGAACTAAAAAATATTTATTTTGAGCATTGTGTCATGCATAAAAGTGGAAAGAAAACGTAAATTCGGGTGCTCTGAAGTGTCGTCTTTCTTTTCATGATTAGAGAGTTCGCTTTGAACATGTTTTTCGGGCGCAATAACCAATTTTGCAAGTTTATTTAGATAAAGATATCTCTATAACACTGCTGATTCAGAGAAATGATTCAGCTCTTTGTATGAAAAGGAATTTCTTATGGAGCTGCACAAAAAACAGCTAGACTCTCTATGAGTCGAATAAGAAAGTGAAGAAGTGAAAAACAGTTTTCCACCGCTTTGATCGGCTTGCCCACATTAAAATCCACATTTTGGTTAATGCGTTATGTTTTGAAAGATTTATGGCTCCATAACGAAATAATATAATAGCGTGGATAATGTTTTATTTTGTAGGGTAAACTGTCTTCTTTGATATGACAACCAAAGGAATTTTTAGAGACGCCACTATAAATCAAGATAAGTTATCAAAAAGCAGGTAAACTGTGACCTTTAGGTCACTAACTTACTGAGTTGTAACTTTTTATACAAATGCCCATGAGAGTTTGCTTGACTGTCACGTAAAGAAGACAGTTTACTCTACAAAATAAGACATTGTCCACACTATTACATTATTTTGCTGTGGAGTCATAATTATTTCAAAACGTAACGGACTGACTTTTTTTGGTTGGGTTACGTGGACAGGCCCTGATCTCATTTTGTATGGATATTTCATCAAATTGTCAAATGCCTTTCATCCCTCATAGTCAATTTCCTATTCCCAAGAATTTTCAATATTCCGCGGATCAAGGATTCCAGGATCCTGTCCCTCTGTCGGAATGGAAAAACTACACCCCTCGACTATATTTTTGCCTAAATTTGAGGCTACTCAAAAAAAGTAATATTAACGTACTCGCTTGAGCATAAATAAAGAATACTAACGCTTAACATCGCGAAAATTTTGTAGAAAAAATTATTATAACTAGGGCTGTCGCGACCAGTCAGACTTTGGGGAGGTACTCCACTGAGAGAAGGTTTTTTTAAAGAACGCAAGAAAATTTCTTTTTCTGCTGGGAAAAATCGAGGACTTTTTATTTTTTAGGGAGGGAGAGGGGCAACCCCCACCTCCCAGTAACCTTAACCTGAATTATAACCCTTTTTCTAGCTGAATAGAGTTCGGATTACTCAAACTTTTCCTACGTAGCCGCGGTTTTGTTTCAATAGCATTTCAGTTCCGAAAGCGGTTTAGACGGGCCAACAATCAGATCTAGTCGAGAGATAAAACATGTGCTTATGCTTCGAACTGAATTTAGCCTGTATAACAAATGTTGTCATCTTTCTTTTTTCGAGTCGTATGATACATCACCGACTGGAATAAAACTGAAATTAACTTGGATTGAATTGCCACTAAAATCTCAAACAAATAATATTTTTGTATTTTGCATAAATCAACGTGATCAACATGAAATTTTAATTGAATTTACAAAAGATGGTTTCTTTACGAAAGCCATACAACAACCAAAAATATGGTTCAAATGTTTTGAATTTAAACAACAATCCGATAACGATTTTAATTCATTCTTATATGAAATAAGATCAAATGGCATCCCAATGAACGAAAGTGATTTATTTGAATTCCCATTAAATCAACAATTTGACCCACAAAATCCAACATCATTGCCTTTATTTGACTATATTCAACCGATATTATTGACTGGTGTTGTAATCAACAAATTTAAATACGAGAATCGTTATGATATTCAAGTTATCCATCTCCAACGTATCTTTTATCTCGACGATAGCACTTGCAGAAACATGCAATTAACAAAACTCTATTTTCCACACTGTCAGCAAGCAAGAGTTGAATTACATGTAAATATGCAAGAAATATTAGCAATTCCAAATGATCATGACAGAAAACATGAAATTAAACGTTTAAGAGCTCTTAGTCATGAAGTCTGTGAATTGTTGACTTGTTCGACAGGCGAGCAATGATTTTTGTTTTTGCCATTCTATGTACTCAATAAAACTTTCAATATTGGTTTGACACGAGAACTCAATAGAAATGAGCGACTTTTTTTACAAAATGCTGAAAACGCGAACTCTGTGTCTCTTTTCGTTCTTGCGTTATTCAAACAACATCCATGGCCGCTCTGTTAAGAAATCCATAGTAAAAACCCCGTTGATCCAAAACCGAGTACAAATAACTGCTTATCGGCAACATTTTTGAAAAGGCTAATACAGGGGTTTGTAGCGCTTGGAAATCTCTGTCGAATGACGTACTACTTTATTGTTTCCCATAAACCGTTAATTTGCAAACAACAATGTAAGACACCAGAGTGATATTAATTAGTATTCATTGGCATGATTAATTATAAATTATTGTCTTAAGCAAACGTTTTTTAAAACCTTTTACATCAGATCATAACAACAGACGAGTACGTGCATTGACTTTCCAAAGTACATTAGCTTGTGAGTAAAACACCTTTCACACTAAACAATCTTCTTTTTCAAGATAAGTTTTGAAAATACAGACGATGCAAAACTTTCCGAATTGTATAGACTTCTTGTTGAATACATAAGAAACATACAACGTTTCTAATTTCAGCTGTACTACTTATCACACTCATACATTATACATTTTCCTCCTGTTCATCTTTTTTTTATTTTTATTTTTTTTCCTTTTCTTTTTCTCTGCTATCTCTCTTTTGTTTCTTTTTTTTTTATAGAACACACACATATAAAACAGTCAAAATGATATCATAGGCTTCTGCCTCTTTCTTTTTTGCGCTGTACTTTTCCCAGAATAAATAGGCTATAATTTTTTTGCTAAGTAAAATTATTAAAAAAAATGCTAAGTTGACTTTTGCCAAGTAAAATTTCTATCTGCTCAGTAAATAAATTGATTGTTAAGTGAAAATATTGAACGCTAAGTTAATTTATACTTTCTCAGTAATGAAAATATTTGCTAAGTTTGATAATTAATTTCTAAGTAAAAATTTTTTTTTAAGTTAATGAATTCAAATCATAGTTATAAAACAAAATCACGAAGTGAAAATTATTAATACTAAGTAATTTCTAATCAAGACCAAGTACGATTATCTAAGATAGGATGAATTTTTTTATGGTGGAATGGGTTATACATTTTCGCTCTTTCTTTCCTTCTGTCAGTACTGAAGTAGTATCGTAACATATGTATGTCCTACTATTAGGACTATTAGGAATCATGATGTAAGAAATGAAATATTAGATGACATCGACAAATTATAACTATGTGAATCAGAAATAATCTTTAGGAATGCATTAACTTTATTTATGAAGAAATGGAGCAAAAGAGAAAATGACTTTTCACAATATTTCGAAAACGAATGGTAAAAACTCGTGATTCATGGTATGAAGGATACAATAACTTTATACCAAGTACGAATAATTCATTAGAAGCAACAAATAGGGTCATCAAAGATGAACACACATTTAGAGAACGACATTCGTTGTCAAGAATTTTTACAATTGCGAATGATATTATTAATAAATAGTCCAAGTCTCGCAATCAGAATCAAATAGATCCGATTTTATTTTCAACAGAACCAACAATTTCACTTAAAAAATGGACTCATGCATATCATTTCGCAAAATCCTCAAAATCAGTATTACAAATACTAACTAAAACAAAAAGTTTTACTGATTACTATATACCAGCTGGTGAGGCAGAAAATATTACAACAAACGAAATACAGAAATACAAAAGGAAGAAACGGATGTTCTTCGACCAATTTAAAGATCTTCAATTTGGAATATGGAAAGTAACTTTATCTGACAATGCATCAAAATGGAAAAACTGACTTTGCAATTGTCCAAGCTTTTTCAAAGAATTTATTTGCAAACACATTATTGGTATGGCGATTAGGTTGAAGTTTTGCAAACCAGCCCCATCAGCAAAAGATATACCATTGGGTGAAAAAGAATATATAGCTTAAATCAACACTTTATTCTATAAAACCTTTACTATAGATCTTTGCTTTAACCTCAAGTCTTCCTCTCCTATTACTGACAGAAACTCTTTCTAGAGAAGATTTTTATATGATTTATCCTGCTGCCATTCATTATATTTCGTCAACTAAATGTTTCAAAAACGAAAATTAATTTTTTTCTTACTATTGTTTCTTTTTAAATGTGTGGATGTGCGCACGTGTTTAGACAATGTTCTTTTTCTTGTACTCTCCTTGGGTTAATCAAGATGGTTTTAAGTAAAGGAATGAACACATTGGAAGACCCCTATAGAGTGAATGATGCAAAAGACAGATTAGAAGACCCATAAAAGCTGAAATTTTCCGTAAGGATGCATTTTCCGTTACTCGTTTTCCGGAGTAGTTTTGATAAAGTTTAATCCAACTGGTAAAAGACAAACGACCCCACATATTGTCCTAATTCGAACTGCATTTGAGTCAGAACTTATTAAAAATCCTGGAGGAATCTCCCATAAAGCTTCCCAGGAAACTTTTACGTGGACACAACACAAAAGGAGTAAGGGTCATTTTACATACGATCTGTGGCAGAATGTGACGTTTTTTTCTGTGTTCATACTATATATACAGGTTTTTGTTGGACGCAGTACAAGACCCCTGTAAAATCCCTAAGATACAGAGCAAATTACAATCCTTTATTTTGTACTCTCCTTTATGGTAAATCCAAGTTGGCTCGCGTTCCATCACTCTGTGACAAGAGTAATAATGGAAATTATCTCTTTTCTGTCATAAGTAGAAATATTCCTTTTGTTCTTTGTTAAACAAACCAAGCTCACACAAACCTAATATGTTCAGAGAGCCACCGAAGAACTGGCGCACTCAGCACGTGCTCGTCAGAGTTGCACTGAGGTTCACCTGCTGCTAGATTTTACACACAAGATCATGTCTCCTTTAACTCACGTTTTGCTTGTTTTATTCCGTTCATCATAACAAGTTCTTTGGAGTGTGCCTTTTTTTGGTTACTTCAAAATTTTTTGTACTTTAAAATACCAGTTCTTTATTCGAGTTACCGTTTATATGACCAAAAATTCAATACTTTGTTTTCAGCCGTTATCTTATCAGACTTTTTTTATTGAATTGAGTTCATTACGTAAGAACAAGTATTTCTAATCTTCGAGTGATTCTTTAGTTTCTGCATACCATATTATGTAATACAAGTTTTATCTTTAGAATAAATATCTATAATCTCTAACGCATGAATAGATAAGTATGGAACTTGACTTAAGTCACTAATTCTATACATGCATGCAAATTATTAATAGTATCTTTATCTATGAAACTGTTCTCAAATCATGAAATTTGTTGGTAGAGCAGTTGGAAATAAGTATTTGTAAATCGAATATAGAACTGAAAGAATAATTCATAGCAGTTCTATATTCGATTTACAAATGTTCTCAAATCACTCAGTCATGCTGTGAAACTAGTTTATAGAGAATTCGGCTAAAACAGACACAGACAGCAGCGAGCCAAATGAGTCATCTACTATACTATCAGTGCCATATCGTTGAGCACTACAGTTATCCACTTCAATAACTTTACTTCCTCTGTTTCTTCATCGAGAACCAGTCTGCATTAAAATGCCCTCATCACAGCCATCATATGTAACAGATATAGAAGAGGAAGTGTTATTTTATATCGTCCTCCGTTTACTGAAGGAAAAAATGTGTCATAAATCATTAGAACACAAACACGAAACCGTAAATGATTACCATTGCTAGAAATCAGTTTCTTGATATTGATTTTTATTGTAGCGCTGCCTGTCAGTTCTAGCATGTAAATTTTTGCTTAATAAAACGGATGAATCTTCTACGTAACGT